GTGCTACACAACAGTAGCCTCTCCAGCTGGACTGAGGAGGGCACTCTTGTGTGAGTGTAGAGAAGACACCCTCCCTTGTAAAGGCAGGTCAGACCGTCTGGAAGGTAGTGAGTTCCCCATCAGTGTTGAAGTCTCAGTTCCAGCCTGGATATAAGGAGATTAGACTTGTGAATACTGCTTTATTTGGGCCTGTTTCTCTCTGTAGTGTGAAGGAATTGGACTTTTTGATCTCCAAAGGGCCTTCATCCGGGTAATCTATCTATCAAGCCTGTCTCACACTAAGCCCAGGTGCAGCCTCTTGATCCTGATGGGAATTCAGATGGCTGTCATGAATCAAGAGCTGGCATATAACATAGGACCTACTTGCCATTCTAGTACTTCTCCAACAGTTTTTTCTTCTCAACATCAAGTATTGTCTTTTAGGCAGTTAAAAACTTTAAATCCATCAGTTGTTTTGATGATCAACTTTAAAAAAATTTTATCCTGGTATCTTTAGTGCCCAATCAATGGTCTGCCATAGCTAGATACCAGGAAGATCTGTCAAATTTACCCAAAAGTTTGTAGGCATGGAGCATACTTTACCTATCAATCAAGCTGTGTAGAATAGGAATAGACAGCAGTTGCCATCCTCCTTTTTTATACCGAACAACTGAATCGCCTACCCTACCTGGCCATCAGATTTCCAGCATATTTTGCCACTGAATGGTCATCAAGTGAAATCAAATGGAAATGCAGCAAAACAACTGTGAATGGACACAGCCTATACATTTTGTTCCAGGAGACATCCATTTGCTGAGCAAGCATGGCAGCTGAAATGGGTGGCCTGGCTGACAGTATGGATACCATCATTTCCCCTCTTTGCTCAGGGCAGGGCCTGTTTATCTAGTTTCAGCAGACTAGGAGGTTCAATAGGATGGTCAGTTCAGAGCGACTGACAGCAATGAGAAACAATAACAGTTGACATGAAAGGAAGGCACAAAAATAATAATGCCTAGCAGTCTTCAGATTTGCCCCACGATACTGGCCTGATGGCCACATCATCATCAGTGGATTAAGTGTTCATTGTCTTCTGAGGTAAGAAAATAACATGTTTTTAAAAATTTCCCAAGAAATAGGAAAAGAGGCAAAGAAGCGAGAGTACAGAATATTTGGAGCCAAATGGGTTTGAATCTGGTTTCTGCTTCCTCCTCTGTAGAACAGGATGTTGGTTCTTTCCTCCCAAGGCTAAGATAAAGATATGTACAAACATTTGGAACATGTGGCATATAAATGCTTAAAAATCAGTGCCTGTTATTATTACAAATAAATTTGCTCATTGGGAGCTACTTCTGTGCCTGTCCATTAAACCAAAATATGTTCTTCAAGTGATGATCTATTTATTTTAGACCTGTGCTTTTTCCTAATGAGTCTATACATGACACATTCCTTGGAGGGCAGCATCTGTACTCTCCACCTTTAAAGGGCTGGTAAGTATTTGGTGAGGCTGGCCATGGCCTGGTTTTGAAACTTTGCTCTTTTGTTCCCAGAGACACAAGGAACCCACAAAGGGCTGAGGGACATCTGCATCCACCTGGTGCCATGTATGGCAATTTGAATGGGTGAATTATCCTTTTGGGGATTCAACCAGTAACATGAGTCTTTATGTGAGCAATTTACCACTTACAAAATTTTCATTATTAAAAAAACCCATAATGTAGTTTTGGAAGAATGTGACAAAGCAAAAACCAAAATATGAATTGAATGACCCTAGTTCTATGACTAAGATAAATACACCATTAGTATTTTGGTCACTGTATTTCTAGGCCTTTTTCTTAAAACATAGTTATCTAGGCTTACATATTATTGATAATTTTGCCAAACTGGGGTCATACTGTGGTATACATAAATTGCTTTGTGATGTGCTTTTCTCACTTTATCAGGAAGGGAAAATTTCCTTGTGATAGTTCTTGAAAACATGGCTTTTTAGTTTCCTGTCACCTGAATTGAGGCTCCATTTCTACCACTAAAATATCTGTTCCCAGTTCCTTCCACGGAGGTTACTGTGAGGCTCCCATGACTATGACAGATGCAGCAAAGTCTGGAGGTGGCTCTTACTGTCTGACAAGAAACTCCATTAGCCACATCCCTGATCCTGGGATCACAGTCCTGATCTCTGTTCTCCTTTGTGCGGGCTTTGCTAAGCTCTTCATGCACCACAGCCTCTCTGGGTTCTTGTGCAAGCCCTGAAATCAGGCTATGGTCCCCAGCTTCGAAAGCCTGCCCTAATGCTGGTGCCTTCTGTGTAGAAAGAACTTAGCAGGGTCAACTTGGCTAGGCCACAGCACCCAGTTTTTGGTCAACAGCAGCCTAGATGGTGCTGTGAAGGTTATCTGGGGGTGGATTAATATTTAAGTCAGTGGAGTGAGCAACACTAATTACCATTTACAAGAAGGTGTGCCTCATCCAGTCAGCTGAAAGCCTTAAGAAAAAGACTGAGGTCACCAGAAGAATTCTGTCTCCAGACTGCCTTTGGACTTGAATTGAAACATGTTTCTTTCTGGTTTTCCAGCCTGCTGGCCTGCCCTACAGATTTCAGTTTTCCCAATACCCACAATTCCCTAAGCCAGTTCCTTAAGATAAATCTTTCTCGCATTTTACACACACACACACACACACACACACACACACACACACACACTTGGTTCTGTTTCTCTGGAAAGTTCTGACAAATACAGGGACCATATACTGTCACTGACTTCTCAACTCTGTTGCTGCTATACTGAGAAAGCAGCCACAGACAATGTACAAACAAATGGATGTGGCCGTGTTTCAACAAAACTTTATTCACAAAAATAGGCAGTAGGCTGGATTAGGCCCATGTAGTTTGCTGATTTCCTATCTTCTAACAAAGAAGCATAGTACCCAGTACAGAGAAGGCACTGTGAGTCTAAAAATACCATTTAAAAAATGTATAAAATGAAAATGACAAGTGATAAATAAATAAGCCACTGAGGTTATGTGGCACACTTGCTGGCTATCAGACTGCCAGCATGAGTTTAGAAGCACAAATAGCAGAAGACAGGAACTTTTGCTTACCTTTGACTTCCATTGTCCTGACATGGTCTGACAGGGACATCTGGCATGAAGATACATCAACCTGGCATCTAAGGGAATTGGCTCAAGGGAAAAAAACATAAGCTGTAGGGAAGGCACTATGCCCTATCCACTTGCCTCAGGAAGACAGCTTAGTTACTGACACAATCTCTGACAATTCCCAGGAACTCACTGGAGGCAGCAGTATAAGAATCAGTTTATTTTAGCAAAGAAACCATCCAGCAGCCTCAGGTGGGCCCAGGACAGCCCCTGGGCAGCATAAGCCTGAGAAGCCAGTGGCCACGCAGCTGTGGATGGTGGGGAGGGTCACACCTGCACCTGCTTGCTCCAAGGACCACAGCCATGCTGGGAACCAGTCGAGAGGCACCCAACCAGGCCATGAGGGAGCTGCTCCAAGGAATGGCTGGGGTCACAAACACCATCTGCTTCATGCAGGACACCCTCAGTGCTGGCACCCCCGAGGCCAGCAGCTCCTTCCTGGACACACAGGCAAGAGCACAGCAGGGAGGGGAGAGCACTGCCTCACATGTACTCCCCACAGTCGGCGATGATCACCTTCTGCTTTGGCTTCCCATCTTTGCTGCCCTGGGCCTTTGTGGACAGAACAGGAAAGGAGGACTAGTCAGGGGGTGAGGGAGGAGACTGAAGAGGGACTTAGGGTGCCACCCCTTGGTACCTGAGCTTACTCCTTCCTGGCCCTCCACAGGTTATACCCCAAGGGTCAGGGGGTTTGGGGGCCCTTCCTGGCCACCTACCTCAATTTGCCGCAAGACATCCAGACCTTCAGTAATCTCCCCGAACACTACGTGCTTGCCATCCAGCCAATCTGTCTTGTCACAGGTCAGAAAGAACTGGGAGCCGTTGGTGTTTGGGCCAGAGTTGGCCATGGAGAGTAGGCCTGGAGGAGAGAAGGACGTCAACTTCCTCTACCTTGCCCCAGCCCCTAAAACTGTCCATGCACACTGTGGACAGCTTTCTGCACATGGCCCAGGCTCTGGGACACACAGATCCCATGCATGTGGTCCTCTTGTCTTTCACTCACTAGTGAAATAGGATAAGAAGGGCTGTTTCAAACATTTCGTACTGTTCTGTCATTCTTGTTTTGTTTTTAACAATTACTTATTAAATGTCTACTTAT